AGACAGAGCCACATAGCTCTTGCATTAGCTGTATTAAACAAGGTGGCAAAAGCTGTGATATCTCTAAGCTGCTCCATTTACTGCAGCATTTCTGGATATACTGGAGCAACCTCCCCTTGAGTTTTGCATGGACAACCCAGCAGCCGCAGTCCTAGACTCATAGGAAACCCCTCCCTGCTGCATATAAAAGCTCCTCTTTCTTGAAACCATCATTTACTTTTGGAAAATGACTCCAAAAACATACACATCTGTGGTTTCCCATCAGTGCAGGAGAGCAGCTTTTGTCCACATTGCTCATATTTCTTAGCACGCTCTCCTGTGCTTCGGCCAGAGCCGCCAATATAACTTTCTGCTGAGTCAGGCTGCTGGTTTCCTTATCCCAAATCCCAAACGGGTGGTTTCAAGTACTCCAGACATTTTTCAGCTGTACTTTGAAACCCAACCAAGCCCGCAGGGATATATTTCTTCTACTGACTGACTTGTGATTGAGTTGGTTTTCTCCCAGGAAGAGCAAGCAGCACCCCTCCTTCCCCCCAAATCAAGTGAACTTGGTGACTTTCAGCAGCACCAAATAACGTGAATGTGGGCTGTTTGACCACTAACACAATGCTGGTGTGGTGCCAAGTTGGACTGCTGCTTGCCCTTCTTGCTCAAAGAGCTGCCTTTGGGGACGACAGCGCCCTGCAGAGTGCAAGGTCCCCCTGCCCTGACCAACCTGTTTGCCAGCCCTAGGGTTCCCCCAGGCACCCTTGGTAGCCTCAGGGATGTAGCAAGGACCTGGCCCCCATGATGATCTGCTCCCCTTTGTACCTCACACACCGTCACTTGCCCCTTTCTGCGCCGTGCTCCTGCCCCACTGTCTCCATCCCACTTCTAAATGCTGCTCGGGGTGCAGAACACCCACCTCAAGGCTCTCTCCTCCTCAAATGCGAGACAAGGAAAAGAACTTGTTTGCACTCCTCTCAATTCATCAGCCCTGGGACACAGTCCTTGGATGCAACATCCTCTGTCCCCAGCACCCATGCTGAGCTGGGGCAACTTATTTCTTTGTTCCTTCATGATTCATGCTGTTTGTCATGAAAAGTCTTGGTCATCACAAACATCCCTGCACAGCTTGGGAACTTGCAGAGCCTTGCCACACATTTTAAAGGTAGGTTTCTCCAGCCGTGTCCCTTGCTGGCACTTCTCAGCCTGAAGCACCTCGAAGGTGTGTTGATGCTCACAGAAGATCCAGTGCCCAGGGACGCCTCCGCTCGGGGGTTTTCCCTCGAATCCTTCCATGTGGCCACATCCAGAGCCACCAAGGCCAGTGTAAGCCAGTGGTCACCTCAGCTCCGGAGGCCTCAGGATCAGGCTCCTCTCCCCAGCAYCCACCTCCCCCAGCTCCTCTGGGGTTGCTTTCAGCTCATCCGTATTCCGGATCCYGTGTTCAGATGCCTCCAATACAATAAACCAGAGCAAAGGCAGGTCTGCAATGTAGAGATCCATTAGGCTTTATTTACATGCGTCACCATCTCTTTTACAAACTAGATTACAATTTAAAATGGAATACACAAGGCAATATCTACTAACACCAAGTGGAGTAAGCACTGCRTCTCGACTTCATCTGGAAAGGGGCAGAGCTCCAAAACAAACTTGCTTCCAATCTCTGTGTAGTTAGGAAGTATATTCATCCAGGGCAGCATCTTTTTTTTTTCTTTTCTTTTTCTTTTAATATAAAATCCTCCATAAGAATGCAACATGAGAGTGTCTGCTTTCAAATGAAAGTACAAGATAGCCCAAATGAAAAGTATAAATTGTTCAGCTCTTCGATACGTAAAGATGGCCATGCGTGATAAGGCTGTGGATTTAAAATTCTTCCAATGTACATGGCTTGGAACAAAAACAGATAAAACAGCTTTACAGATACTGTATACATATTTTTTTCAATCATGCAACTTTTTTTAAAAAAAAGTTAAACATGTGAAGCCAAATGTACAATCCATTTTTCCAACCCATAGTAACGAAATGTATCTGGTCCCCCTTCGCATCTGTTGGCATTCCTAATGCACACTGCGTACTAGAAAACAACCACAGGACACCGACTGCCAAGCAAGGACATCACTTCAGAGAAATACAGGACCTAAAAGGTAGCTTTTTGGAGCAGTGGCACAAATATCTCTGGAATTAGGCAGTGGCCAACTATCTAATTATTCTCAAGAGAAAAAAAAAAAAAAAAACCTTACAAAATTATTAAATAAAGCCCCAAACCCGTGACTGCAGAATTGCATTTTTTTCAGAACTTTGTTTAGACAAAGAGTTTCAGCAGGACCTGTGTGGTTGTTCTGGACCTGTATCTGTGTCAGGACTTTAGAMGGAAAATTTCTATGCATAAAGCTCTTTGAAGGCTCAAAAGGCCGAATTTCTCAAAAGGTAGGTTCCCCAAATCGGTCACTTCCATCTGTATATTGACATGGAAAAAAAGAAGTGCCCCTGTGAACACAGGGAGATGTATTTGCCTCTGAAGATGAGGGCCATTTCTAGACACCTAAGTGCCCCTGCAGGGCAGCGATGTTCCGGCGGGCATCCRGCAGCAGGCACCTCTGCTTCCCTGGAAAAGCAGGGAGCCAGGGCAGCTCGGCCTGCTTCCCTTCACCCTGCTGGGAGGTAGATTAGGCCTTACAGCTGCTAATGCTTTTAATATCTATATATTTTTWAAACTTCTCTACCATTGACCGGTTGTCTCCAAATCCTTTTTTTCCTTATGTTTTCTGTGCAGCGTGGACCGTATTTTTCCCTCTCACTGAGGCCAGCGTGAGGCAGCTCCATGGCCTCGGAGGAGCTACGTCCCGCCAACGGAGCGCAAAGCGCACGGCTACATTCAAACCGACCACCCCGCGTGCTCCAAGGCCTGCTCCCTACCGGGAACACAAGTAACACGATGGATTCTCATCACACCACCCGGCCAGGCCGGGGCCACGTTATGGAGAGGTCTTGGTGGTGGTCGTGGCCAGGTGGCCACCAGCTCCGCAGCGGTGGCCCGAGGGCAGCGCCCGGTGCCAACGGAGCGAGGGCACGAGCTGGCAGGGGAAGGATATCAACACCATTCATGTTTCAAGATGTAGCAGGAGCCTGACAACCATGGGTGACCACCACGCGGCCCTGGTGTCCAAGACACCAGGCCACCAGAAATACCTCCCCAGGCGTGATCGCCTCAGATCAACATAATAGAGTCCCCCTAGAGACCTAGGAGACCTAGAGACCTACGACCTAGAGACCACCTGGAAGCAAAAAGGAAGAGAGAAGTCTTCTTAAAAGGGAAAGGCTAAACCCTTAGCTGCTTGGGAGGGTGGGTGGGCTACGGGGCTACAACAACCACAACCGCACAGAGCTCGCACAGCCGTAACTGCGTGGTGCAACCACGCGGTGCATCTTCACCGGGGACAGCGGGAGCGTGGGGAAGGTCACGGCACAAAAYGAAACCTCCATCATCACACGAGGAGCTGCTATTTCACCACTGTCACCTGCAGGGCCTGGCGAGCCAGGCGCCGGGCAGGGCCCACGAGCGCCGGTGTGGCGCCCGTGTGCGTGAGCGGCGGCCGCGGCGCGAGGGAGTCACTCCACATTGCATGGGAACACCTACCAGTGGGAACTCATGCACTGAGACTTTGGGTTAAAATGCTAGCTTGTTTTCCTAACATCCATGCATAATGAGCCGTTTCTGTACATAATAAAATATATTTATATATTTATATGCATAATGCTTTTATGCAAAGGAAAGGAAAAAAAAAAACTTCATATATCGCTTTGGAGAATTATGTATACACTGTCCTATTCAGAACTTCTTCATACCAAATCCACGTGTACCACTGGTGTTTTTCCCCTCTTTTTTTCATATCCCTTCCCCCACAAAAAAATACTAATAAAAAGTAATCAAACTTTCCAGATTATAGAGAGGATCTATACAGCACCATACCTTTTATTCATCATTATTAAATCATTATTATTCATTTTACAAAAGAAAATCTTAGAAGCAAAATATATAAAACTGCCTCGTCTCTCAGTGTCGTTTATCCTGCTACAATCTATGCTCGCATGAAAAGCCATTTGTACGATACTGTCACCTTGCCATTCCCTCTCCTGCTTCTTCCACAACGGATTATGCATGATGAGAAGGAAAAAGGAACCAAGGATATGTCAAAAAAAATAATAATTACCGGTGCAATAACACACCCTGCAACAATTTGTGCCTTAACTCCTGACATTGCTGCTCTTGTGCTACTCGCTGATGCCCAGCCCGTGGTGATCCCTGCCTCACGGTGCCTTTTCTTTTCCTTCATCCTCCCGTTTTCAGATGGATCTTTACGGGTGGTTGCGCTCACCTTGCCTGGCARCGCAGGGGCAGCTCAGCCTAGAGCCTCTTCCCTAGGGGCAGCAAGGGCAGCCTTGGCCCCTGCTAGCCAGCCCCGGCTGGGTACTCACGGGATGTACCGCCGAGCGCGAGAAAAGAGCAAACAAACAAACAAGCAAACCCCACAAACAGAGCACACAAGTCACCTCTCGCTGGAAGCCGGTCGGTTGATGGGTAAAATGAAGGCTGTGTAGTCAGAAAAGCTCCGCTCGGAGCCAGGCAGGGTTATGATAATCACCATCAGGTTTTCCTTGCGCGTAGGCTGTGTTTTGAGATTCCCCAGGGCGAGAAAGCAAAAAAGGTCAAGAAAATCTAAGGAAATCAAACTGGAGGTCGGGGCGGGGGGAGAGGGTGGGCAGACAGGGAACACCTCCAAAACTGAAAAGCCAACTTAAAACATCCCATAAACCATTAATATATTGAAACACCACATACTCATTGACAAGTAACTACTGCAAAGGCTACGAAGTGTGTTCACAACAGGATGGTTCTGAACATTGTCTCCACAGCAGGTGTTTGGCCATCCTGGGAAAGGAATATTTTTGCATACTTCAGAATGAGTTCAATTAAAAAAAAAAAAAAAAAGAGGAAAAAATAAAGAAAAAGAAAAAAAAAGAAAGAGGATCTTCACTCAGGATGGGGCTTATTAACAGTCTGCTTCATTAGGAAAATAATGCAGGGTTCACAAAGGTCGTAAGCTGTAAACAGTATCACTGTCCACTTGCTGACAGCAGATTTGGCAAAGGGTTCGCTCGCTCTCCATGTCTCGTGTCAGTTTGAGGGCCTGCAGAGGAGGAAGAAAGAGAAGATAGTGAGATTGCTGGGAAAAATAAAAAGAAAAAAAAGAAAAGCAACCCCAAAAGTCAACAAGCAAACCCAACYGCTGTTCAGATTGACAAGCAATTGCCATTTGTTTGTACCCAAAAGCTTTGAACCCCTGAGCAAGCCATATACCGGGCCCTCGTGAAAATACTTCTCTTGCCAAGGCTTGTGTTTCTTTACTACCTTTCCTGCTACCAAGCAATAAAGCAAAAAACTTCTCCCGTAAAGGAAAAGCAATGGCCAAGTCTCATTTACAGAAACACAGTACATCGGGTCCTTCAGTATTTTTCCTTTTCTTCATGATCGCCCTTTCTCATCACCACCAAAAGGCTGGACACATCTTCTGTTAGGGGCTGATATTGAGGCCTGTGCTGGAATGGCAGCCGAGGGAGGGAGGCTGCTCAAGAGAAGCAGCAAGAAGCCACAAACTTTGGCTCACAATTTTGAGTGTTGACTTCTTCCTGCGTAGCGCAACACACCATTATCAGGCAGCCTGAACCATGATGAAGAATGTAGTTCAAAGGTACTTAGTGAATYAAACATACAGATAAGCATCTAGCAGGGTTTTGAAAAGTATGTACATCTYGACATTCCCATGCAAACCTTCTACACGTTCACAGATCCCACTTGAGAGCCACCTGCACTGCTCGGCACCTAACTTGACACCTAACTCTGAAAGACCTGGCCCCAACGAGGCTCTTGAATCSAGGGCTTTGTCCCTCCCTCCACTTTGAAGCTTTTGAGAACTTCTCCTGAGATAAAAGAYTGATGGTTTTACACAGCCCAAGAAAATGAGGCACTTGTTAACACCAAAAAGCAATTCATATTCATCACAGGAATGTCTCTGCTCTCTAAGGAACCTGCTGCCCAGCACCCTCCAAAGAAAAGGGTGGATTGAGAGGGACTGCAGGGACGGCAGGTCCTACRTTCCTGTAGGGAAAATCACACAGCTCGTTAGAAAGGACAGCACAAAACCTCTCTCCTCCGTTACTGCCGAGGCTATTCCGAGGCCTCTCCGTAAGGTACCAGACACTGATCCGGCGATAACATTTCATTAAAATGACCTATTCTGATAATGCTAAATGATTGATGGGAATTTAATCATTTTGTCTCATGGTTATTAGAGCAACAGCACGACAGCTGCTGCCGGTGCCGTTCGGAGGGCCCTTCATCCAGACTGGCTTAGGGAGCAGACAGATTGCGCCTTTCACCCAAACAAAATTTGGATTTGCCCTTAATTATGCAGGTTTTGGCGGTGGGGCGGAGGGTCAGGCTGTTTTTATGAATAAAGGGATTTCTGACCGGATCAACATATTGATCTCTTCATTTCCAAAGGGCGAATTAATGCTAGCCGTCCGTTAATGTGACCGCCTGGCAACAACTCCATGGACAAGTGTGTCCTCATGGCCAGAGCAGGGTCAGCTGGAAACACGGAGCGTGGCCCAGCATCTGCTGGCACAACATGGCCGAGGCCTTGGGTGCCGAGCAGGTGAGGCCAGGCCCTTTTCACCGCCCAGCTTTTCGTTAAATCCTTGGCACGTGTGAGGCTGGAAACTGCTGACTCCCCAGAGCGCGGATGGATCCCAAGGGATGAATTCCTGGGCACGGCAGCCCGGCGGAGCGGGTAGCTTCACTCAGCAGCCGCTCAAGCCGAGYGCGGGCCTAAGCTGCAGCGTGTGGGACAGGCCTCCCTGACTRCAAATGGAGCCATTAATTAAAAGCAAACCAGGACAGAAACTCCTGAAGAAGTGCCAGAGTAGTGTTTAACATTTAAATTAAAAACATATGTAAAATATATTGTACCATGAAGAGTGGAGGATGGGTGATGGTGGACACAACTTGCACCCGTGGCACCACTCGGTAGTTTTGTGAGAGCACCTCACATTTGGTGGTTGCAAACCCTTAACAGACCGAGGCTTAGCAAAGCCACGGCCAAGTCCACAACAGACACGCACCTTCTGTGTCGCCACATGAAAAATACTGGTTTTTAGTTACTAGCCTGCTACTTTTTAGCAAGGAAAACCATATCAGGTGGAGAAATAAACCCTCATAGAGCCCACTCCTCTGGCTCTTTTACATGGCATGGTTTCTTGCTTCCTTTAGGAAGGGGAACATTTGTATAGGGAGTTTCCCAAAAAGCATCCGCTGCCTGTTCAGAAGAGCGTCCCTGGGAAATTCAGGTGCTCCTTAAACAGTCCCTGCACCAAACCTCAAGTCTACATATCACATATCATACACATATCTACGTATCATCTACATATTTTCACTACCAGCAAGTGAAAATAAGGGGGTTTAGCCTTTCTCTTGAAGTTGGGTGCAGTCTTCCCAAGCTCCCTGATGGATGGGTCCTGCGAAAAGCGCACACAAGCAGAACACTGAAGGCAGAGGCAGCTCCAAGACGGCTCTTTTGGCACCTTGTGTGCAGAAGTTTACAATAAAGGACACGTCTGCTGGACATTAGAGGGAATCACAGCCTTATTTCAAACTAGAGCTTATACATCTACATAGATGTACGGTTTATGAAAATTATACCATTAAAGCAGCAACACACACAAAAAAACACAACATTAAATAAAGGGTAGGTCAAGATGAACTCTTGCTTTAACACATCCCACAGACTTTTTGAAACGCAGRTGCGAAGCCTGTTCATCCTTTCTGGCGGAGGAGTATCTAACACAATTCAAATCCTTCTCTGTTTCCTAAATCTTTCGTTTGCAAGTGGTTATGTGGGAGGTGGGGTGCCCCTTTCTTCCACGTTTTTCCACTCCTCTCACGCGCTGGCTTGACCTGCTCCTGCTAGAAATGCTGCTCTGCCTTTGCTCTGGGGCTGAGTCCCKGCTTGGCACTTCCCTGTCAGAAAGAGCACTTCCCGACCTCCACRTGCCCTCATTCCACCCCTTAGCTGCACGGGGGTCTCCCAAGCTCCCGATCCAGCTGCAAGGCTTGTTGAGTGGAGAAATATCACCATTCCAAGGTCTGCAAAGCAAGGGCTTTCCCTGGGTACCACACAGTACTGCTCCCCAGTGACAGGAAATCCCAATAACTACTTTTATAAGGAACTGTCCTGATGCTTTGGGTGGAAACACCTTGAAGGAAACTTTCATCCCTCTGTGGTAGATGGACATTTATTCTAGAGCCTCTGATGCTTGTTTTTGTGATGGCCAGCAGCAGCACCACTTTTGCTCCAAAACAGGGGAAGGCACAAGAAGCAACAGCAGGTTATGCATGGTGATAGATCTTCTCTTGCTTAAGTTAATATTCTGCCCGGGGTTTTCACAGCTCAGTCTTGAAGAATACAAAGTATTTAGAAATGCACAAGGAAGATATAACTTTTGTGGCTAATCCTTCTATCATGGCAGAGTTGCAACCTAAGTTTTCTGTTCAGGTAGAATAAAAATGAGGAAAACCAATGTCGTGACACATTATGTCACAGAGATACTGTGCAGGCATGGCATATGCTGTGTTGGAATGGCATCGTGCTGCAATGTGACTCTGTGAGGTTAAAAAGCAAAGTCCATGGGAATAAATAATAAAAAAAAAGAGAGAGACAGAATTGAAAATTTAACATATCTTCTTTCAAGGGCCTGAACTTTTAGGCATGTTGCAACTTGAGTTTTTCTCTTTAAATAGTACTCATAAAAATAGAATCTTTCCGGTTCTGAAAAGCAGGCAAAGAGTAAAGGGAAAAGAGCAGAAAGAGGAAGAGAGCAGGCACAGAACAGGATTTCTGGGAGCTAACAAGCTGCTGTGCTCGTGCTTGTGTACGCATGTCAAACATCAACGTAACTCTTCCATTTGCTGCTGCTGTTCCACTCCAGGAACTGCGAAACACAGCAGATCATGGAATCACAGGATGGTTGAGGTTGGCAGGGACCTCTAGAGACCATCCAGTCCAACCCCCTGCTCCAGCAGGGACACCCAGAGCACAGGGCACAGGGYGGCATCCAGGCGGGTTGGGAAGATTTCCAGGGAAGGAGACTCCACAGCCTCCCTGGGCAGCCTGTGCCAGGGCTCTGGCACCCTCACAGGGAAGAAGCTCATCCTCACACGGAGAACTGAAGAAAGACATCAGATCTTTCTCTGTATCTATCTGGCTTACCCACAACTGCTGTGAGATGCCATGCCTACTAACATGCACGTTGTTCTGATGTATCCGTTGTCTACCTACTCTCTTCTCGTAGGAGGCAGTGCTCTTTGTCACAACAGTGACAACACCAATGCCTGCTCTGGCAGAACAAAGCCTGCAGCACCACAGTAAGTTTTGAACTCAGGATAAACCAAAGCTTTACTTTTTGTACCTCCCATGGCCCCACCAACATAGAATAAACCTCTGTAATTTAAGAGTGAAGCTTCAAACCAGACTGCCTGCTTGGGAGACCAGCATTAATTTCCTGGCATAAAATGATTTCACTTCTATGGATCTCACCACTTATCTAAATCTACTTTCATCTTTCCATGAACTGTATATTTTGTCTGTGTAAGAAAGACAAATCAGAGCAGGAGAAGAATTTTTCTTTTTCTTCCATTCTTTCTACTTCTGTGTAGAATTTATATCATATGCAATTAAATCATTACCATCTCTTTTACACATTTGAATAGTTTAAATCAGGTAGAAAAATAGTATGTTGAACTTCTACAACCCTTTATTAAGCTTTCAAGAAGCTAAGCCTCACTCATAGAATCACAGAAAAGTCTAGTTTGGAAGGAATTTTTGGAGATCATCTGACCCGACCATTCAAAGAAAGCAGGGCCTTAGATTAAGCTATCAGCCAAGCCAAGTCTTGAACATTTCCTGCAAGAGCAGTAAGTGGTGAAGTCACTTCTATGCATTCTGCAGTTGAACATGAGACACCCAGAACGAGAGTGTTAGCCCATGCTATGTTGATGGGAAACGTAGCTCAGGGTTTCCCTAATATATCCGGACCTGATACTGAACAACCGAATTCACAGGAAATCCGGCAA